CTTGCGTGACTGGCTGGCGATCACACCGCGCTGTCCGACGTGCCGCGGAGCACCCGGATCGATCGCACTCCATGTCACTCCATAGATAGATCCGACGGTTCGCACAATAATGGCTCGGTTAACAAAGTGACGACTGCATCGTGAACTCGTATGAAACATTCAATGGACAGTATTGTGGCGGGCATCATCAACATAACCCAATATTGAGGGGTTCGTTGAGATGTGCAGCTAACGTTATCACAACATCGCAACGCAGAAGAGACGTCGTATTGCGGCGACAGGCACTTGGCCACTGGCTTCAGAAGGATGCGTTGGTGTTGAGAAAGCGAGTGACGATATTGTCCGGCTGTGGCCGCCAGTGTATGTTGCTTGTGCACGTTGGTGGTGCGATATGAGAGCGAAGCTGTGTGTCTGCGTGCCAGCACCAGCTCCGTTCATGGACTGTTCACGGCTCCAACGACAACCTCACTCTAGCACACAACGCACAGGTCCTTGTCGTGGGGCTTTTCTTCAATGTGGCGTACCGAGATGGGCAGTGCGGTCTTCATATCACACTGCACGTTTGCCTATCGCATTGAAGTACTGTATCTCAGTAGTCTCCAAACAGCGTATCTATTTGCCGTGGCACATGCCTTGGCATCCTAGGTCGCTGCCCTGGTAGCCACCTATTGGTAGTCGAAAAACGATGCTGCTACCTTGGTGTCATAATAAGTCTCTAACCATGAAAGCACGACTCTAGTGCCAACAACGCAAGCGGATGCAGGATAGCATCCCTGCGTGCACGCGGCAAATCTAAAAATAGACTCAAAAACACATGTTTGTTTTCCCAATTGCCTGTCACACGGGTTGGGAGTGGACCTGCGTAGAACAACAAAAGATCTCAATAGACTCATTCCAATAACAACGAAAGATTGTTGCGTGTCCAGGTGGGTAGTCTTTCGCACCTGCGTAGGACAGGATTTGTTGAAGTCGAATCAAACCAGTACAGTCAATCGCTCAGTCTCCATTCACCCACATCGGACCAAGCGGTGTCGGTGTACCTCGTTGCCTAGAGCCTGCTCTTTTGATCTGAACCGCCTTTGACATGATGAACTTTATTGTATCCGCCAAGCAACTGGCCGCTTCACGACCAAGCACGTGGCGGCAACTGGCACCTACCCCGTGGCCAACGGTCTTCAAGCTC